CTATAATACATAAGGACCTAAATAAGACAGCTAGAGACAACCTCACCAAATATTTAATTAAGTACAGAAGGAGTTGAGTATTGGTTAGAAGAATGTGACTCTTGGACTCGCTGACTACCGGTCAGTGCACCTCTGACAATGAAGGCTGGCCATTCCGAAGTGGCGAGAACGTAGGCAGTCACCGCCGAAGGTCCTTTGATAGTCGGCCTTGAACGGTACTTGGCTGTAGCTTAAACATAATAAGTTAAAGGATGGCCAGTCATGGCAAAAAGAAGTTGAACACGTGTCCGTGACCTTAGCCCGCTTTTGTCACGCTCTGGTAGCACTACATCATCACGGTACGGGAGGCATAAACTGCAAGATATTTAACTGTGTAAGACAAAGAGCTGTTTAACGATGTTATACGTCTAAGAAATGAGGGAACCTGCCGTTTCCACCTCCAAAGTGAACATGATGGTCGGATGCGCTTGATTAATAGCAGATGCATTTACTTACGCTTTCCATTGATGGATTTTTGAAAACGGGCTACTGTCAAGCACATAAATTACCGCAGTGTGTGACAACATGCGTCAGAGCCTTACAGTTTTGAAAAGCTAAATTCACTCCTTATTTGTGAAAAAACAAAGGGATTTCTCACACCTGCCTTCTCCTGATTTCCATTGACACAGGATGAGATTTTTCCGTTGCCGAAGGGGTTTATTTGAAATATTTATTGCTTATATTGATGCTAGTCTAGAACACGGTGAACTTAAAGAACAGATTTTGAGCTACGTTATTGAATAGTGAAGGAAATCACTTGAAATCCAGAAATGCCCCTTTGTGTCCAGATATGGCCCGTTTTCCTTAAAAATAGACAGAGTTTAATTCTTCTTGTGGAAAAAATGTGTTCTGAACAGCAAAGTAATGCAAAAAAGTGAGAACACTAAACTTATGCCTAACTACCCATTGAAATTTCGGTCATTATATTTTCCGGCTTAACTCAGCTGCCTTATTCGTGTACACAATCAGTGCTTAAAACTAATTCGCATGGCGGGTTTTTCGAGATACGAGGTCCTGACAACGAGAATTTTTCCAATTCAAGATTCAGGGAAGACAGAATTATAAGTAATAT